GTCAATTTTCAGCTATCTTAATGAAATCATCATAGTAAATTTCTGAAGCATTGCAATACATACCATCTCTCAGTTTCCTATTTCTGCTGGTACAAATTTCCACATAAGTAGTGGCTTAAGACAACATTTATCCTCTTAAACTTCTGGAGGTCAGAAGTCTGAAATGGGTCTTACTGAATTAAAACCAAGGGGTTTGTCCTGAGGCTCCAGGGGAGAACCTGCTTCCTTGCATTTTCTAGCTTCTGGCGACCACCTGCATTTATTGGTTCTCATCCGCTTTCTCCAACTTCAAAGCCAACAGTGTGGTGGCCTCAGGTACCCCCCCTGACTCTGACCCCTCCTGCTTTCCTCTTCTACTTTATTTTTTTTATTTTTTTTAAATGTTTTATTTATTTCTAGGAGAGAGAGAGAGAGACAGCGTGAGCAGGGGAGGGTCAGAGAGAGAGGGAGTCACAGACTGAAACAGGCTCCAGGCTCTGAGCTGGCAGTCAGCACAGAGCCCGACGCGGGGCTCGAACCCATGAACCGCGAGATCATGACCTAAGCAAAAGTCGGACGCTTAACCGACTAAGCCACCCAGGTGCCCCCTTCCTCTTCTACTTTAAAGCACCTGTGATTAGGGGCGCCTGAGCGGCTCGGTCAGTTAAACATGCGACTCTTTATTTTGACTCAGGTTATGGTCTGGCAGTTCAGTTTGTGGGATTGAGACTCACATTGGGCTCTGTGCCGACAGCGTGGAGCCTACTTGGGATTCTCTTCTCCCCCTCTCTCTGCCCTTCTCTCACTCTCTCTCTCTATCAAAATAAATAAACTTAAAAAAAATATTTGTGATTATAGTGGGCTCACCTGGATGATCCAGAAGCGTCTCTAAAACCAGCTAACTCGCCATCTAATTCCATCCGTTATCTTAATTCCCCCTTGCCATGGAACCTAGCGTACACAAAGGTTCCAGGGCTTAGGGAGTGGACATCTTTTGGGGGACCATTATTCTGCCTACCACATGCTGTTTTATTTATTTATTTTTTTAATATTTTTATTTATTTCTAGAAAGAGAGAGAGAGACAGCGTGAGCAGGGGAGGGGCAGAGAGAGAGGGAATCACAGACTGAAATAGGCTCCAGGCTCTGAGCTGGCAGTCAGCACAGAGCCCGATGCGGGGCTCGAACCCACGAACCGCGAGATCATGACCTAAGCGAAAGTCAGACGCTTAACCGACTAAGCCACCCAGGCGCCCCCCACATGCCGTTTTAGAGATTGAATGTCCTTTAAGGAATGTCCAGGGCAAAAGTTATCCCAAGAATGAAGTGGTTAGGTTAACAAAAACCATGCCGATGACCAAGATACTGTTATGTTCGTCTAAACAAACTGCTGATTGAACCACTCATGCTCCCAGCACCATTGGTTTCTAACTTCTCTTTCCCCTAGGCTCCAGGCTTCCAAAAAGGACACTTGGTGATTTTGAGTGAACTTATGATCCTATGACACTGTCTTGAGGATAACAGAATGAATGACATTTGTGTATCATTTGCTGTTCTTCGTTGGGACAACCCTAGACTTGTTCTCTGTTCAGCCCCAGGACATCAGCTGTGCTGCATGAGGGCGTAGGTCCCAGGGACATGACTTCAGTGTCCAACATGCCTGGTCCTGTCACAGGGGCAGGAGACCCACAGGCAGAGAAGAGAATCCTGACCTAGAAGGGAACCTAGAGATTGTCTGATTTATTTTCCCCCAGCTTATTTTATGGATGGAGAAAACAAGGCCCCAGGATTCTAGGTGACTTTGAAAAGATGTTTGGTATTGTCAGAGACCAGAGCCAGAAGCAGATCTTTGAGGAGCCAAACCAAACCTACTATTCCACACCCCCCAACCGCCCCCTGCAAATAACCACAGGTGACATCTATAATTCTTTTAGAAGAAAGCTTGCGTTGGGGGCACCTGGGTGGCTCAGTTGTTAAGCGTCTGACTTCGGCTCAAGTCGTGATCTCACAGTTCATGAGTTCGAACCCCATGTCAGGTTCTGTGCGACAGCTCAGAGCCTGGAGACTGCTTCAGATTCTGTGTCTCCCTCTCTTTGCCCCTCCCCTGCTCGTACTCTGTCTCTCTCTCTCAAAAACAAATAAACATTAAAAAATTTTAAAAATTAGAAAATAGAAGAAAACTTGCTTTTAACAAGAAGTTCAATGTCACATAATTTTCCAAGACTAGAGCCCCGTGATAACAGAAGAATGAAACGCCTTTGTTCCAGAAGTATAAAGGACATAAGATGTGGTGAAATAAAGCAAAGGAAAGCAACACAGTGAAGATAATGGTGAGGCCTGTATTCAGATTAAGCTTCGAAGTGGGGCCAGAGAGGGGTGAGAGTCACTGCCCAGACCCCAGCGCAAGGTGGGGGACTCATGAGGCCAGCTGCAACCCAGCACCAAGCGGGCTCAGCCTGCGGGCCCAACGCAATGGTGACACCCACACTAGTACGTCTCCCCATGCCCTTGCTCATGCTGTCTGTAGTCATTCATGCATCCACCCATTCATTCATTCTCAGGCAACAAATATGTAGTCAGCACCTGCTCTGAGAGTCCGAGCAGAGAATGAAGGCATGAACATGCCCACGGGCATTGACTTCACGAAGCCTCCTTTCCAGGTGAGTTGTTCGCAGTATGAAACTTTCATACAACAGAGGCAAACACACTCTGAGAAGTACTGCAGCTAGAAATGTTTGAGTGTGCAGAAGGACTTCCCCAGGGTGAGCCGGGCCGGTGCCCTGAGAGAGGCTGCATCTTACAGACCAGCTCCGAGGCAGCTCTCTTTTCTAAAGAGTGAAGTCTATGTGTCTGCTGCTTGGTGTTATTTCCTCCTCCCCTAGAAAGCACAGTGATAATTCAATGGATTCTGTAATCCATCCATTTCGGCCTGTCCAGTGAGTGGATTCTATCCTTGGGCCAGCAATCAGTAAATATATGTTAATTGCTCGTCGGAGCCCTGAGGTCAGAATGTGCAGAGTGCTTCCTTATTTGATATTTCCATTTTCAAATGAACCCAGACCTTAACAAAGGGGAAAAAATGGTACTCTTGGTGACAGTTTTGAAAGATCAGCTTGTGTTAAATGGTGGATTTAATTGTGAGGTGTTCTCCCTATCAGGGACTGGCTGTTTGACTCAGCAGTAGTTTGTCAGTGGGTTCTCCCATGATCAGACATCTGTGTAAGCTGTGTTTTAGAAAGAGAAATAGAATTCCTGCATAAAGGATATTGAGATGATTTATATCTTTTTAATGCATAAAAATGACATCTAGTTAAACAATAAATCCTTTTAGGTATTAAATAATACAAAATGATTTCTGACAAATAGGCATCAGATTAAAAAAATATGTGGGCTACTTAATTCAGTTTCACATCATTTGACCTTCATATTCTAATTCATTGCCATATAAAATGAGCTTTCATGAGAGAGAGACTGATTTATTGCTCTTACTCTTCTGTTTCCTTCTTTACAGTACTCCTGAAATAGGGCTAGAGTTATTTTTAGAAGCACAGCTCTTTATGTACATCTGATCAACAGCAAATAAATCGAGAATTTTAAATAAAGTAAATTGGAGGATCCTTATAAGCCTCACCATGGAGACCAGAGACCAAACTGTTACCATGGAAACATTTTTAAGTCCACTATGCCTGGAGTTATGATTGCCACACATTCAGGTATTAGCATGGATCAGATATTATAAAAGCATTTTAGGTTTCTCACTGGAAGCATGGCATTAATATCAAACGGACTTCAATGCACTAGAAGTGCCCTCATCTCTTGTACATGAAGGGGGGACCCAGAACTCCCAGATTTCACCCCCATTCCTGATTCAGTTTGGAGTGGAGGCTGAGCAGTTTATGTTTTACATAAGCTTCTTAGGAGCTGCCAAGCGTGAGAATCTCACAAACAAGGGTCTGGGTAGATAATAATCAGATATGGTGTCTCGGTTTGGTTTTGGTTAAATAAGAGTTTTTACTGATCTTTTATTATTTTATTATTTTTTATTCATTTTTATTCATTTTTTATTTTAGAGGAAGAGAGAGAGGCTGTGAGCTGGGGAGAGGGGCACAGAGAGGGAGACGGAGAATCTCAAGCAGGCTCCTTATAGCACGGAGTCCAACACGGGGCTCCATCCCACGACCATGGGATCATGACCTGAGCTGAAATCAAGAATTGGATGCTCAATCGACTGAGTCACCCAAGCGACCCTAGAAATTTATTTTGATGTTGAAAATGAACCACAATTGATTACAATTTGTAAAAATGTAGTTCTTTCTTAAGTATTTATACTCAATTTACTTATTGTACTCTATTTAGTAATTGGACACCTTTTGGCCAGTGCCTTTTAAAAAAAAGTTCACTTATTTATTTTGAGAGAGAGTGAGTGAATGAATATGGGCAGGGAAGGGGCAGAGAGAGAGAGAGAGAGAAAGAGAGAGAGAGGCAGAGAGAATTCCAAGCAGGCTCTGCACTATGAGTGTAGAGCTGGATGTCTGGCTTGATCTCACTAACGATGAGATTATGAACTGAGCCAAAATCAAGAGTCAGATGCTTGACGGACTGATTGGGTGCCCCTAGCCATCACTTTCAGAGGGGTTTTTAAAACTTAAATTCCCTTAGATATTTCCAACTGTTGGTATAATTATAATCTGCTTGATTTTTTAAGGACCTCACACTTTCAAAGTTTCTCATATTCTTAAATTGAACTTGAAATTTGAACTTTGATTCTCTTCAGTATTCTAACAGTATAAAAGCACAGTGAGATTTCACCAAAATCATCACAGATCAGAGTTACACATTTTAAATTTGAATCATTGTGCTAACTTCTCTGACTCAAAGAAGCCAATTATTAAAAACTTTGCAAGTAGATTTCTTTTCTGATCCACCATCTGCGGTGGAACCACCACCAAGATATAGATTTTCATGGAAACTCTTACGGTAAAGACCATCACTCTTGAGGTGGAACCCTCAGATACAAAAGGAAATGTTAAAGGCCAAGATTCAGGATAAGAAAGGAATGCCCCCTGATCAGCAGAGACTGATGCTTGCTGACAAGCAATTGGAAGATGGACATACTTCGACCAACTATGACATTCAAAAGGAGTCTACTCTTCATCTAGTGTTGAGACTTCATGGTGGTGCTAAGAAAAGGAAGAAGTTTTTTTTTTTTAACTTTTTAAACATTTATCCATATTTTGAGAGAGAGAGAGAGAGAGAGAGCGAGCGAGAGCATGAACAAGAGTGGGAAGGGACAGAAAGAGAGAGAGACAGAGAATCTGAAGCAGGCTTCAGGCTCTGAGCTGTCAGTACAGAACCCGATGTGGGGCTCTAACTCAGAAACTGTAAGATCATGACCTGAAGTCGGAGCTGAAGTCAGATGCTCAACCAACTGAGCCACCCAGGCGCCCTGAAAAGGAAGAAGGCTTACACCATTCCCGAGAAGAATAGGCATGAGAGAAAGAAGTCTAAGCTGGCTGTCCTGACATACTCTAAGGAGGATAAGAATGGCAAAATTGGTTGCCTTTGTTGGGAGTGCCCTTCAGATGAATGTGGTGCTGGAGTTTTATGGCCACTTTGACAGACTTTATCATGGCAAATGTTGTCTGACCTATTGCTTCAAGAAACCGGAAGACATGTAATTGTATGTGGGTTAACAAAAGACATGAACTAAAAGCAAATAAACAAAGCAAACAAAAAGACTTTGTAAGAGAATAAATTCAAATTCACAAATTCCACAACACAAAAATGCCTTTATTGGACTCTGCAGATTTGATTTTCTTAAACATTTATAGACAATTCTAATTCCTCTCAAGGAGAAAATTTCCTCCTTGCTTGTCAATCTGACTGAGATTTGGGAAGCAGCACTAATGGATGAGATCTGCTGAAGATGAGTTTTAGTCACTATATATATATTAGGGTTTAGAGTTTTTTCTGGAGATCGTAGGTGGCAGCCCTCATGTGGCTGGTAATCACCACTACTGTGGTGGCAATGTGGAGACTTGGAGCCCACGACCTGTGTATACTGTCCACTAGTGGGGCTGTGTGTCCTGGCCACCCAATCTTGGTACCACAGGGTAGTAAGTATGCAGGGTTATAATTTTTCAAAATTATATATATATTTATCTTTTTAAAAAAATAGTTTAAGACATACAGAAGTGATATTGTAATTTTAAGCCAGAACTCTTTAACATGCATCTGAAGGCCTGGGAATTGAGATGGGGAGAGGGGCATGATGTTAAGACTTTCTCACCTGGTAAATATGCCTTCTAGGAAAAGGTAATCATAATGGATATCCCCTCAGGGACAAGAGGCAGCTGCTTCCCAAATAACCAGGGTCTGAAAAGTAGTTCGTCATTCGGATTTGATGAAAGAGGGTCATAAGCTCATGAATTTACTGAAGAGTAGTCTGTATCAGTGAGGGTAAAGGCTAAGCTGTTATGACAAAGAGCCCCCAAATAGGATGGCACATCAAAAATAGAGCTTCGTTTGACTTTCACTTAAGAGCCCTATGGAAAATGGGCCAGGTTGACCAAGAGGCTCTGCTCCGTGTGACCACTGTGTGACCCAGGTACCCCAATGCTGTTGCTCCACCATCCTTCAAGACTACTTACACTGGGTTTCTTGGACCTCCAGAGAGTCCACGGATAGAGTTCAGAAGCTCCATAAATTCGAATAAGAAAAAAATTACATCTCTGGTTTATATTTAGCATTTTCTGTAATTCCAGTTATAGGCAGCAAACTATAGTACTATTAGCCATACTTATGAATTTATCACCAATACAAATAATAGATATTTTATATCAATTTCAATTGTCTTGAAATATCATTTGTATTCATCACTATTTTGAGATGATGGTAATTATTAGACTTGTTGCTACTTATCTGATACACCACTAAGGAAACATATGCTACTGGTGGGCCTGGGTGACTCAGTTGGCTAAACGTCTGACTTCAGCTCAGGTCATGATCTCATGGTTTGTGAGTTCGAGCCCTGTGTCAGGCTCTGTGCTGACAGCTCCGAGCCTGAAGCCTGTTTCAGATTCTGCGTCTCCCTCTCTCTCTGCCCCTCTCCCCCACTCATGCTCTGTCTCTCTCTCAAAAATAAATAAACATTAAAAAAATTTTTGAAAAGAGACATATGCTGCTATATACAACTTAGTTTTTTAAAACATTTATGATATTTTAATAGGGTATTCCAGTATAATTTCTTTATAATTTTCAAGAATTTTTTTTTAGGTAAACTCTACCCCCAACATGGGGCTTGAACTCACAGCCCCACAATCAAGAGTTGCATGCTTCACCAACAGAGCCAGCCAGGTGCCCCAAGAATTATATATTCTATTTATTTGTATATTTTACTTTTTCACTGAGCTATTTATACATAGTAAAGTGAATAAAATAAACACAAATCTTAAGTGTATAAGTAAGTGAAATTATATGTTCTAATGGTATCAAAATAGAGAACTTTTTCATTACCCCAGGTATTTCCTGTGTCCTTTTGTGGTGCCGCTCTTGCAAAGGTAACAGTTATTTGGACCCCTGTATCATGAATTAGTGTTATCAATTCTTGACATCCATATAAATGAAATCATGTAGCGTATATACTTTTTTAAAGACATTGTTTTTTAAGAACAGTTTTAGGTTTACAACAAAATTAAGAAGGAGGTACAGAGATTTCCCATAGCCACCCTGTTCCCACACATGCATAGTCTCCCCCATTAACAGTTCTCCAGAATGGTACATTTTTTACCAAGAATGAACTAATGTTGACACACCATAATCACTCAAAGTCCATAGTTTACTTCAGAGTTTACTTTTGGTGTTGTACAGTCAATAGATTTGGACAAATGCTTGATGCTGTAGATCTATCATTATAATATCATGCAAAATATTTTCTAATATTGCTCTAAATATACTAATATTTATCTAATACTGCTCTAAAAATCTTCCGTGCTCTGTCTATTCGTCTCCCCCTGAGACCTCAGAGTCTTTTTATATTGAGATATAATTGGCATATAACATTACATTAATTTCAGGTATACGACATAATGATTTCATATTTGTATACATTGCAAAATGATAACCACAAAGTCCAGTGAATGTATATACACTTTTGTGTTGGCTTCTTCCACTCAACCTAAATATCTTGAGGTTCAGCCAGGATTTTGTGCATATTGTTAACCCATTCTGTTTATTTTGTGTAGTATTTTATTTCTATTAATAGAAACCATTGATTTATGGATTCTTCTGTTGATAGACATGAGTCATTTCTTGTTTTTGACATAAATAAAACCACTAGGAACATATATATGTATGTATATATATGTATATATGTTTACTATGAAAAAAGGGTATATCTTTACATATATATGTGTGCTCATTTCTCTTGGATATACATGTATGGGGGGGGCGTTGCTGGGTCATGGGTAAACCTACATTTAGCTTTAGTGGATACTGCCAAACTATTTTCAAAGTGGTTGAATGAGGTGATACTCCTACTAGCAAGCAGTGTATATGACTTCCAGTTGCCCCACAGTCTCACAGATATAAGGGATTATCTGTCTTTTAAACTTTAGCCACTCCTGTGGGTGTTTTGTGGTGTATTTTATTTTATGCACTTAATTTTCTGAGGAGGCATCCCTAGGTGTCACCAGACTCTAGAACCCTGTATTAGACCACAGTCATAGTCCAACTATGACCTGGTCAAATGCCTGGTCAAAACCAGGCACTTTGGTTTTCTAACTCTAGAGAAGGACAAAAAGCAGAAGTTCAGGATGAGCAATTTCCTTTCAAGCAATGAGGAAGTTGTTAGTTGCTTAGTCACGTACTAACTTAGTCACTTGGCCCCACCTAGACTCCTGCGTATCTGGGAAATGTAGTCTCTAGCTGGGTAGCCCTATGCTCAGTCGAAATTCTATTAATATGGAAGACAGGGTGATGGATTACTAGCAGATGCTATTGACTGCAAAATGCTATTGACTATCTCGGTGATTTTTTGTGGGGTAGGTTTTCACAGCAGCAGAAATGAACCCCCACCCATGGTGAGGAACTGTTGAATTACCTACTTGCCCTGTCCCGACTTTCGGCAATACATTGCCAGGGCCTGGGGCAGTGTCTCCCAGGGAAGTTGGGTGCTGATTTCAGGCTCTCATGCTGAACTTGCCCCTCAGGCAAATGAGTAGATTGACCAGGCCCACGGGGTTCTTGATACACAAGACATGATATTTGAGATGTGTCAGTAAGTACCTGCATGACCCAAGGATGAGTAGGACAGTTTTATTCAGGTCTTGGGGAAGAATTGCTGACAGTGTTTGGTACACGATGGCCTAAGTCATGCCTTTGTCAAATACCTTGCGTGGCACTTCACTCTTCAACAGCATTGCCAAAAAAGTGTTGAAACCTTTCCAGGATGTTGTCACAGTGTCCTGACCAAACCCTCTTGGGTCATCCATGAATGTGGTTACCTACTTCTCAGATTGGGTACAGTGGCTACCCGAAGACATGTGTGGGCCTCAGAGTCAGCTGTCCTGATTCTGTGCTCCATGTATTTAAATGGCAGTTCAGAGGGGGGCAAACGATGAGGTGGGAAGAAGTGAGAATATATCTATGAATGGAAATACCTAGATGGCAGCAAAACTATGTGGTTGTGTTACTCAGGACTTGGGGAAGTATATGTGGGCCTGCCAACCAATGCCAGGTTGATGGAAGGGGCTTTGCCATGTAATTGAAGGCTAGCGATGAACCCAATACTCTTTTCTTGTGGTAAACTCACACATGCCAGCAGGGGATGGGATGGAGTTTTGAGTTCGAAAGAAAACCCGAAGAGGGCAATGATAAAGAGATTAACTCTTTCAGTGTGAACTATATGTAATTTAAAATATATCTACTTGGGGGCGCCTGGGTTGCTCAGTTGGTTAAGCGTCCGACTTCGGCTCAGGTCGTGATCACACGATGTGGTTCAAGCCCCACATCAGGTTCTGTGCTGACAGCTCAGAGCCTGGAGCCTGTTTCAGATTTTGTGTCTCCCTCTCTCTCTGCTCCTCCCCCACTCATGCTCTGTCTCTCTCTGTCTCAAAAATAAATAAAACAAAAAAAAATTAAAAATAAAATAAAATATATCTACTTGGAAACAATCAAAGAAAAGCAAAAAGCCAAACTATACCTGGGAAGTGGAAAATCACCCCAAACCCCTTCCTCCCCACTCTGTGCAATCTTGGGCTCCTGTGTTGGTACCTCCCTTCTATTTAGCAGATATAGGCAGAGAGGAGACTAGTTCTGATTTACAACTCAAGGAGGGGACTGGGAAAATCTTTGAGATGCCACACAAGGTTTGGGCTCTACTGACATCTGGGGGCAAAGGAAGAGGAATATGGTGCTGCCAAGAAGGGGGATGGTAGGAATTTGAGGGGAAGAAAGGACATTAAAAAGACGAATAGCATTGGGAAGAAAGTGTGTTTATTCAATGAATTTCTATGAAGGGAAGTTTGGGCAGTGAGTCGGGGCTCTCTGGTATGACATAAAGGGATGTGTTAGTGAAAATAGAAAGCCTGAACTGCTGGCTTTATCACCCTCTCCCTA